TGCAGTTTAGATTTTAATTATGGTTGAATTGATGTCTCTGCAGTTTTATCTGTGATTGTCTTGTGACTGTTGTTTGACAAGTTTTATATTCAGTGCCAGTTGCACACTTATGAATACTCTGAAATGCTGATGTATGTATGTATAATGCGGGATAAACCAGAGTAATGATAATATGACATACTTCAGTATGAATAAAGAAAAACAGAATTATTATGTGTAAACAGTACCATGATTTCCAGTGAAAAAATTATTTACCATTAAGCCTGGCCTATGAAATTGTATTCGCTTTGAAGGGGCTATGTTATCAAAGATACTGAAAAGAAAGAATGATATGACAAGGATTTATATTGACAATTACATTGATTGATTATGTGCAACTAAAAAAAAGTAAAGGTATCCCTGTAACAGGCTGTGGAGGTCCATAGGGTTGTGAGATGTTGAGGTTCCCACATTTTCTGGACAGTTGCACAGTTCAACAGCTACATGATTCCAATCAGTATTATTTACCCATATTTTAGGGCTTAAGGCCTCCCATGAATTTTAGCATTAACTTTTCTGAACTGACTACTACAAACACAAATCACAGCATAGTCAGTTATAATGACTGTATATCAAACACTCAAAGGGAGAATTGTTATACAGTGATTCACTCAGGTAATACAAATAAGTCCAAAACCTATCTATGTATGAACTTCTCAGTAACCAAAAGATTTTTTTGCCTGGTCATGAGATAACTTAATCTTGCTTACAAGGGTGTATTTCAGATTCACGAGTTTCATCATAGTAATGAAATTAATAACTGGAAACCTGAGTATTATTGCTTACTGCACATGATGTATAATACATTAATGTAACCAAAAAAAAATATGTTCTGTGTGGCTTTCAATTGTAAGCCATGAGTAAAGGTATGAGGTTGAATACAAGTATCTCTGATGTAAACAGATTTCTTTCCTTCAAATTTCCCCAACTTCAGCTTGTTACTCTGTTGAGTTTCTTATTGGAATCACGTTTCATTTCATTTATTCACCTTCCATAAATCCTGTCGAGAGTACATTCTCATGCGGATGTGGAGATCGCCCTTGTTACAGTCACAACTAAGGATTAATATCGCTTCACTGATATCCCTCCAGATGGATAAGAGTGAAGTGATATTAAACTCAGTTCCAAAAAAAAAAACAAAATAAGTAAGAACCTCTGCAGTACAAGAGGTCAGGGATGCAAAATTATTTATGTCTATTCTTGTGAATTAATGATTCTTCGAAAGCGGTCACAAAACAGACACTGGTGGTATGATAGCATACCTTTTTACCGACCGAGCCCTCGGCACTGGCGGCGGGCATTTTTTGAATCAATAGAGCTGCCTCCGGGCACCGTGGCAGCAGTGATGCTTCATGACGTCACGGCGGTTATGTCGCCCGCCAATAGCATTGAGTTGCATCACAGTGTTCCTGACGTCCAGTGGGTATTGATCAATGGTGGCAACCATGGAACTATGATATACAAATCATAAACACGAGTAGTTTCTAACAGCGGTAAGTGATGGGGAAGAGTATGTTATACAACTTTAGGGAATTGTAAAGCATATAAGTAAGAATTTTAATAAAAATAATTTGTGAGTAGGATAATTTGTTTGTATGAAGGCCATACTAACTCTGTTGGTGCATGTTACATATTTGCCGCCACCGATAGCATCTGAAATTAAGTTTTTTTATTTACCTTCATTGTATGAAGTAAGCAACATAGATACGACGGCAATAACACAGTAGCGAACTTCTAAATAGTACTATTTTTCTACATGTGACATGTGTAGTGGCAGAAGTTAACCGACGTTTGAGAAGAATGTGGTCAACAGTGCCACGAGGTGTCACGTTCTAGAGCGATTTGCTTTTCATAGTCACCGTCATGAAAACCCAGATTTCAGACAGTGGAGCTACTTTGCTTTTCATTGACCATGAATATTTGTCACTGATTTGGGGTTTTATACTCTTATTAGGTCCAAAACCAGACCTCTTCAATTTAACATATCCAGTGTCATGTTAATATGTGTACAAGACCGCACATGTAACTGAACCAGTATTGTCGGCGATATGTGAAACTGTACCACAAGAAGTTTTCCCAAATATGTTTCATATCTTTTAATATGTATGTTACTAATTTAAAGCATCCAAGTCACATAATTGTATCAGATATTCAAACAATTTGATATAGGTATTCTGTTGAGGATTAGCACTAAACATCATGAACACTGGACATACTGCTACACAAGTGTGGGAGAAATATCCAGGTCGAAAATAGAGGAGGACATAGAAAACAGTTGAAGAAGGCAGAAATTGTCAGCAAAGAACAAAGCAGGTTAACTCAGAAATCAAAAGAGTTGATGTCCATCAGGACGACTAAACAGGTCATCAGCCAACCAATCCTAGATGTTGCTTCCCCTACCATGAGATAAGGAATAATGGAATGTGTAACATAAATAGTCCTAACACTATCCATTCCTTGTCCATTCCACTGGTTTTGTGGCAAATATGCTAGCCTAGTATTAAAGAATTTCCATATTCAAACTGTTGCTAGTAAGAAAAAAATAATAAAAATATGACAGTATAATAGCCATCTGAAGAAGGGAGTACAGTCAGTTTTCCAGATGCAATGTATATCAAATCTGTCTTAGGCAGAATACAGTGTCCAACATAATAGTTTTATGAAGAAAGAACCATTGTAACAGAGCTTTAGAGAGTCATTACAACTGCCAGTTGCCAAACTGAACTAGTGTTCACAAAAATAGAAGGGTTCCAAATATTCCAAATGTTTGTATTTATTTCATAAAACCCAAGGTCCAGATAGTCGTCTGTGGTGAAAAAGATGAGGGTTATATCATAATTACAATGAGAAAGATCCCTTTGTGCCCGTCTAGCTTGATGTTTTCACGGCGATGACTATGAAGAAAGTCATCTTCTGGGTTTAGGCGCCGTGTATTCTTCGTTTTGGCCAACGTTCCTCCGAAACGTCAGCCAAAACGAAGAATACATGGCGCCTAAACCCAGAAGATGACTTTCTTCATAGTCATCGCCGTGAAAACCTCAAAACTTACAACAGAAGTAATTGTTTACTTTGCATTCTACTTAGTTGTGTCTCATTTTTGGTAGACCATATAATGTGGCTCTATACCGCCATTATCCCATGTAACTTCATGGCATAATGCTTAATTAGTCATATATATATATGGAGTCTTTCTTGAAAGGCTGAATTTAACTGCCCTAACTGTGAGAATAACATGCAAGCGGTAGCTGAACATGCTTTAGCTTTAAGTGGATGGGGGAAGATGCTGTCTGCTACCATTATTATGCAATGTCTCTGTTACTGTTTGTCTTGTGTCACGTCTCTAGCTGCAAATGACTCAGTGTAGTACATATCAGTTCCCTTTGTGTTTCTGTTCTGGTAAGATATGCAGAAATCTGTATGATGTTCTTATTTAGAGTAGTGAATTGATGTGAAATACATGTTTGAATACCAGTTTTTTCTGTGTGATAACTTATTTAAAAAATAAGTCAAATAAAGTGAAAGATGGTTTCTCCATAAGTAACCTGGTGTTCACATTCCGGCTTTATCAGCAATTTTTGAATCTGTAAAGAAAGTGCATTTAACTGCTTCATTCTTAGACATGAAGTACACACTACAGAATAATGTGCTCACTAAGGAAGGCCTTGATGTAATTTGAGCTGGGTTAGAACGTTTGCTTTGCAAATCCCTGACATGATTATCTCAATAGGCACAGGTTTAAGTAATTGAAGAAGGCAATTATGAGCGAAGGACACAAATAATTAACTGGTTCTACTGGTAGTACATGATGATCGTCTTAACCCAAAACTTACATTTTTTACTGAGGAAGCTTGCTTCCACCTGAGTGGGTATATCACTGCCAAGAACAGTAGGTATTGGAACAGTATGAATCTGAGACAGATTTTTTAATTGTCTGTTCACAATTAGAAGACTGGTATATGGTGTGCCATTACTACTGCATGAGTAATAGGATTCATATAAGGCTGTTAATTCAGAGATGTGTGTCAGTGATATTCTTCAGTCCACTCTTCGGAATATTACAGAAGAGGAGAAGACATATGGCTGTTTTATGCTACGTCACACACTGCTAATTATCCCATTGATGTTTTAAATGAGGTGTTTGAAGACAGACTGATGATTCACGGATTGTTGCACACAGGGTGTCTCCACTTAAATCCCTCTGATTTTTATCTGTGGGGAAACATAAAAGGCAAAATATATTCATATAATCTCTACACATTCACAACATTTGTGAAAGTTACATGTGTTGAGGTCAGTGAACTCAGACTGGTACAAATAGTCTTTTCAATTAGCTTGAAATTTAAGAGCAGAAGGGAGGCATTTTGACCATGTCACGTTCTTCTAAATAATTTATTTACGTTAAGAAATTTGTGTAAATGTCTGTAATATGCAGCATATTAGCTGTAGCAGAGATCTTTTTTCTCTCAGCTGTTAGTGGTTAAGTTTCCAGCTAACATGCTAACAGTAAGTTGGGTGAATTGGCCCTTCGAAAAAGACTCTGTATAAGTTTATAGTACAGTTGGGTGTTCTACTTAATGTAGGTATGGATGCTGACCTATATGATGAGTTTGGCAATTACATTGGGCCAGAGTTGGAGTCAGATGAGGAAGAAGAAGAAGGATATGGAGATCGAGAACCCGAGGCTCAGGAATATGATGTAAGTTATTCTTGAGAATAACCTAATAACCAGGTCCATGACCCCATGGCATGGATTAGAAAGGAGAACTAGTCCTCACCTGAGGACGGAAACAGATCCAGTTTCCGAAACGTCGTGTTTTGTGTTTTTCTTAGTTATCTTAAAACCAGGACGATGGATAAAGTCCGAAAACCCAATATCTCTGTGTGTTATACACCATCGTCAGAATCCTATAGTAACTACTTGACACTTTTTTACTGTTGTTGGATACTGCTTGAATCATCAAGACATATTATTACAGGAAGAAGGGGCAGAAGATCAGGGGGAGGAGATGGATGCAACACCCATGGCTGTGGTGTTACATGAGGACAAGCGGTACTATCCAGCAGCACTAGAGGTGTTTGGGCCAGAGGTAGAAACAATCGTCCAAGAAGAGGACAATCAGCCACTGGACAAGCCCCTGGTTGCACCCATTAAGAAGAAGAAGTTCCAGCTGAAGGAGCAGGACCTTCCAGAAACTGTTTATAACATGGAGTGAGTGATGGTGATGTAGTAAATATGAAGATGAATTTAGTTGTGTATTCATTTGGACCATATGAGTGTAAGCCAATAAGTAAGTTACAAATGGATATTGAACTTAAACAAGAGTACTGATTTGAAAAATGCTTTTATTCTCAACATAAGCTCCCTGTACATTGAGGTACTTGTCCCATTGTTTCACATGCCCCTGAAAACCAGCAGCATAACATTCTTTCAGCTGCTGTTGGAACCAGGCTGTGACTGCCCTTTCTACAGCCTCATCGTCAGGAAAATGTTCAGCCGAAAGATGATGTTTAAGAGGGCTGAACAAATGGAAGGCGCTTGGAGCAAGACTCATCACCTGTGACAGTTTGGGCTAGCATATCATGTCCATCATATTAGCAATTGAGCTGCTGTAATGTCAGACCCATTCTTTGCATTTTGTGTTGTGGGGTCAGCATGCGCGGCACCCATCATGCACAGACTTTGTGAAAACCTAACCTGTCATGTGACTTCCATTTGTTTGGCCCTTTTAATCATCATCTTTCAGCTGAACATTTTCTTGACAATGAAGCTGTAGAAAGGGAAGTCACCGCCTGTTTCCAACAGCAGCCCAAAGAATTTTATACTGCTGGTTTTCAGGGGCTTTTGAAATGAAGGGACAAGTGCCTCAGTGTACAGGGAGATTGTGTTGAGAAATAAAAGCATTTTTCAAATCAGTACTCTTATTTGTTTAAGTTCTGTCTCCATTTGTAACTTGCTTAATGACTTACCTATGTACTTTTGTTCAGTGGAATGGGCACACATGCACTCCCTGCACTGCAGTAACTGAATTTGTGAATGTTGTTGTGAACAGCATGCCATTCAAAACATTAATGTGCAGATTTCATTTTGAACCTATTGATTCTTTTACTGTGTCTGAAAATTACTTTATATGAACCTAATATCAAGCTTCAACATACAGGGTGGGGCACAGAAACTTCCTTTTTGTGAAGATGCATTGTGAAAGGAGGGGAGGTCGCAGAAAAGTGGGGAAAGGCTCGGCAAACGCAGCAGTCGTGAAAGTTTCTTTCTAATACCCCTTAGTAGGAAACATGAGGTGGACGAGTGAGCAGCGTGCATTTGCTGGTCGAAGCCTATTTTTCGAACAACCATTCCTACGTGGTGGTGCAGCGTGCGAAACATTATTGGAAACTTTACCCCCTGAGGCACATTTTCACCTATCCGGATATGTCAACAAGCAGAATATGCGCTATTGGAGTGGTAACAATACCAGAGAGCTCCATGAGAGGCCACTCCACAGTGATAAGGTGACAGTATGGTGTGCGTTGTCGAGAGTTGGAGTTATTGGCCTTATTTTTTGAAGAAGACAGTCATGCAGTTACTGTCAATTCACAGCGGTATGTGGATATGATTAAAAACTTTTTCGAACCAACTCTTGAAGAAATGCATCTAGGAAATGTCTGGTTCCAACAGGATGCTGCCACGGCCCACACAACCCGAGCTTCGATGACAGTTTTGAGGGCAAAGTTCCCCGGATGGCTCATCTCACTTCGAGGTGACATCCCGTGGGCAGCGCACTCACCTGATCTAATGCCCTGTGATTTTTTTATGGGGCTACCTCAAGGCAGAGGTTTTTAAACATTGCCCCACAAACCTGCTTCAGCTGAAGAATGTTATTTGGCAGGAAGTAGCCCAAATTTTGGTGCACATGTTGGAACGTGCAGAGGAGAACTTCAGAAAACGGTTGCATCAGTGCATAGAGAACAGTGGCCACCACCTTCAAGATATTTTGTTTAAAACTACATGATTTAAAACTTTAAAGTATGTTCTTTCATTAGCTAAACATAAATTTTGTCTATCAGCAATAATTTCTCTTTTATTCACCTTAAAAAAAAGGAAGTTTCTGCACCCCACCCTGAATTTCTAAAAAAAAATCTTACAAAAATAATTTATGTGTCACATTAAACATAAGCTTTATTGGGTTTAGAAACTTTTTATTGTGTGACTAATATTTAAGTACAAGAAAAAACTAATTGATGTCTTTATGCGGTGCAATATCTGTGCTGTTCGTTACCTCTGCCAGTCTGCATTAAATGAATATCAATACTAGTAAGGGATTTAAAATCACATATACTCTTTTACCTTACATGTTTGAAATGAACTGAACAGATATGTGTAGCAGTAATACTAAATTTATTCCAGAGCAGACTGTGCTACTTGTTAAACTGACTGAGGTTCCTTGTGCTTTTCCTAAGTCTTTCTTGTCACTTACTAGGAAAGTGTCTTCAAAAAGACAACTAATTCCATGTGTAGATATTTTCTGTTCCTGACCATCTTTTCATTCTATTTGATACCATATTCACTTTTGTTGAAACAGTGTCATTAAATAACCTAAAATCATACTTTGATAACTGAAGAGGTTAGTAGTTGCTAGTTGATTCCCAACGTGTCCCTTGGATATGAATGTTGTGGGTAAAATGTTCCGTGGATTCTCTGGATGGTAGGTTCCTCGCTGATATGATGGATAATCCCAACCTTATCCGCAATGTGGCACTCATAGGCCACCTGCATCATGGGAAGACTACATTTGTTGACTGCTTGATTCGCCAAACTCATCCTGGGTTTCGGTCTACAGAGGAACGCAATTTGCGCTACACGGACACCCTTTTCACTGAGCAGGAGCGTGGTGTTGGCATTAAGGCCATTCCTGTTACTTTGGTGTTACCGGATGTGAAGAACAAGTCATATCTCATCAATGTGTTTGATACTCCAGGTATAGCAAGATGAGTTTACTGTTTCTTTTTAGCCTACTTTCCTTATTTTATTCAAAAAGGTTGAGAGAGAGAGAGAGTGGGGGAGGGGGAGAGAGAGAAAGAGCATGTGTGTATGTTTGTTTGTGTGTGAGTGAGTGAGAGAGAGAGAGAGAATGGGCATGCGTGTGCACTTGCGCAACTAGAAGCTGCCTCATCCCTGAATTTCCTAATTTTTTGCCATCTGTGTTACCAATATAGTTGCTGTGCACACTTCTGAGATGGGAGTGATAATAGCAGCACCTAATTTAGAGTTCTGAAATTTAGTGTGATAAGTATCTCTGAAAAATATACATCATGTTTGAAGTCTTTTTTTTTAACTGTATAAAACAGTAACATTATGGTCACATGAAATATTTGTTTTTTTGGTTAATGATTAACCGTTCAGCATGGTTTGACGTGTATGTTTCGTCAGGTATTTAAATCGTCTGGGGGGGTTCGACGTGTATGTTTCGTCCAGCTGCACACCTATGTTATAACGCCCATAATAATTGATGGTTTTGCCGTAGATTGTTAGATTTTTCGCTGGCCTGTTGTCAGTAGTTCAGAGTATAATAATCCACGAGTTTAGCTGCGCTAAATCATCGTTACATATGCCTGTCTTGCAGCAAAGTTCCTGTTGCTCTTGGGAGAGGTTTCTCCGTTCTACTGTTCTGAAAGGCCTGTTTTGTTTCCTATGAACTTATAAACAGCAGAGACGTGATATGTGCTGTGTTTATAATATCATATTGCCCTGAGCTGGCGACACTAATACACTCAATTGGAATTCTTAGAACAGGGATGTCCAAAAATTTATTCTTGCATGATCGATTGATTTCGCACAGTATATAGCACCCAGTTCTTAGAAAAACGTCACGAATTAAGGCAGAACACTGTGGTCACCCCCTGAGACGATACGGATGTGTGTGGGGGAGGGAAAAGAACTCATTCCTTCATGTATTATCGCTCCAGTTGACGCCATTTTATCGTACTGACCTTGGTGGTCGTTTCGAGGGATGACCATAAATATTTTTTTTGAGCCAGCTAAGCTCTGCTTTCGTTCACTATATACCAGCCAGTTCTTAGAATAACTTCATGAATTCTGTGGTCACCCCTACGACATCTGGGGCAGCCAAAATGGTTGGAATCTGAAACGCAGAAGCACCAACCCCTTGTTATGATAACTCGTAACGTTGAATTTACTACAGCTGACCTGGCAACTAAACGGGTCACGGAAAGACATTTCCTTGAACTATACCCCTCACGGGGAAGAAGAAGGCCGCACAGATGTGTGGTTAAAAAAAAGGGCAAAAGAAAAGACAATATTGGAGCGGTGAATGTGGGGCACCGTTGGGTTATACGAATTCTTCAAGGCCTTCCTTACACTGCTCAGATTCTACTAAACCAACTGCTTGTATTGCCGAGATACAGGGCGCTCATATTATAAGGTAAGGTTATAAAAACCATCTTTTAAGATCATTTTAGTGAAAGTTTCATCCTTCAAGGCGTACCATTCACTGCTCAAATACTAAACAAGCTGCTTCCATTGCCGAGATACAGGGCGCCCATATTATAAAGTAAGGTTATAAAACCACCTTTTAAGATCATTTTAGTGAAAGTTTCATGTTCCTATCTCATAGAATTTAAGAACAAAGATGAATAAATCATTTTTGAGCAAAATTTAAATGGCTGGCTGAATATATTACCGCCGGAGACGCGGCCGCGGAATTTAAATGACCGCGCCAAAGGGTTAAAACTCATATATCATTAGAGCAACTAATGTAAATTTTTGTGTGTACATAGATAATAAATATTCCAGCATGATTTGTATAATGGGCCATTAACATTAGTGCCAGAGAAATGCATAGGAGAACTTTATTTGGACAAATGATAAAACTGTATTCCCTTAACATTTTCCAGTCAGCTCTCTAAATCTGAAATCTCTTCATTATCAGACATATGGGATAATTAGTCATCTGTGATCACAGACCTTTGGAGAATCGGTAGATATGTCCCAGTTCTCACTAATTTATATTATATTGAAATTTTATTCTTTAACCTTTATGTTGCTGAGCATGTAGTGTGACAGATGGGCCTACTTGCAGATTCGTTGCATCCATGTCATTACACGTGCAATCTTTAGAAACATGTATCTCCCAGACTCATTCAATCTTGAAGAAAGCAGTCTTCTGGGATTTGGCACTGTGTATATGTGGTGTTAACTGACGTTTCGGAGGCGATACGTTCCTCCAAAACGTCGGTTAACACCACATATACACGGTGCCAAATCCCAGAAGACTGCTTTCTTCATAGTCACTGCTGTGAAAGCCTCAAATCCTTCATTCAATCTTGCTTAATAAATACTTCCGTTTGTTATGAACTTTAAGTGTGATCTCTCTGCTTTCTTTTTATTCTATCCATAAAAGAACTTTGCAACTGCTGCACCTAACAATGGATGTGACCTACATTGTACATTACCTTACCTTAACCATTACAGGGGTAGTAAAAGTGGTGCTCACAGTTATTCCCAACCTTCTTCATGGTATAAGGTAAGAGTTAATACTGTCCTCCAGTGAAAAGGAAGTAACATGAGTGATGGTGGAACTGGTCAGTTTTTACCATTCTGTTGTTTATTTAGGGACACATTGGGCTTCATTGTATCAACAGCAGTGGGAAGTGTGTTTGAAAATCATGGCAGTGTTTATGTTTTCAGATTTTGGTTTATGTATGGGTAGGCCCTGGTAATTGCCTCACCTACTTTGTTGGACAGTAGTATGCATTCAGTGTCTTCTTGATTTGCATATTTAACCCTTTTGCACTCAACCTATTTTCCAGGTACCAGGCCTGAAACACTCCCGTGAATTTGGCTTAATTTACAAGTCTCACTTCAATAAAATCACCAAAAATACAACTTTGGTCAAAGACGTATGGAAAGAACACACTTATTCACTGTAAACAGCAGATTTCAACAAAAATAGCATACAAATGCTAACACTTTGAATAATCTGAAAACAAAATAAAGCTGAAAGAATTAAATGTAGAAGTTTAAAATTTATATAATTGAGGCAAAAAATAGAATTGTCTTCTTATATTTTAGCGTCCTGTTACACTGATTCATGTCCATGGTTTATGCTAAACCATCTTACAGTGTATACACTTTTTCACCTTATTCCTCACTTCCACACTACATGTTTCAGCACTCATGTGCCATTTCAGGTGTCTTTATGCACGTTAAACTGTTGTACTGCATGCCATGATGTCTTCATTCTAAAATGACTAAAATCTGTATTCGTCATCTATGTTGATGAATTCTAAATAATAAAACTTCTCAGGATTCATCCTAGACTCAAACACGCGAATTACGCCAATCCTCTTTTATGTGAGCATTCTCGTATGTAGGAAAAAGAATGAAGACATCATGGCATGCAGTACAATAGAAACCCGTAACATTGTTGTAATTAATTGTAGCCGAGACTTGTAGATTGTTAAATAAACCAATTAACAATCCGAACAACGTCTTAAGTAACGAAACACGTTACAATATTATAATTAACATGTAACTATGTTATAAAAGCAAAATAATGCTACTAAATTGTGATATATTCACAGTAAAACTAAAACCACTCACCAAGAAAGCAGTGACCTAACAAGTAAACATGTGAGCTCAACATATTTCATTTTTTCAAAAAAATATTTTTTGTAAGCAAAGGGATGCTGTCTGATTGCAGAACTGTGAAATAGACCTTGGAGAATTAGATACCTTCTTGTGCCATCACACTTGAGCCATTTATATAACTAAGATCTTGATTTAGATGGAGCCAATAGATCAGCTGTTTGAGCGTTCTGGCCATTACCTGATGCGCCGATGGATCGATGCACTGAGCATAAGAAAGACTGAGAAAATAATTGAATACATGGAATATGGGTGAGCTTAGTAAGTTTCTGGGCTCCACCAGGGATAGTTGTATCAGGAGTTTACTGTTTGAGACTGCTTGAAATGCATCAGATCATTCAAGTTTACATTTGCTTTATAGGTCATGTCAACTTCTCAGATGAAGTGACAGCTGCAGAACGGATTTGTGATGGAGTGGTACTGTTTGTGGATGCAGCAGAAGGTGTAATGCTGAACACAGAACGCCTTTTGAAGCATGCTGTACAGGTAGGGAATATTTACAGGACACTTGTCACCTAAAAGGATACCTTTTCAAACTGGGATTCACAGACGACCCAACTTGTGAAAGGTGCCTACAAGAAGATGATGAATCAGCCACACACATCTTATGTGACTGTGAAGCTATAGCTTGTTTAGGATTTCATCACCTGGGTCAGTTTTTTATGGAACCAAGTTACTACTATGATGTCCTCATAAACAATGCCCTACATTTCATTCAAAGTGTAGGATTAATTATGGGGTTAATAAAAGAAATAAGGGAAGCACAATAGATCATTGAAGGTTGCGGTGCAAGTTCCAGGTTATTATGGCCCATCCCTTTTGCATCCATTCATTCATTCTTGTTGTACAGGTAGGAGAGTTTTACAAAGACTTAATGTTAGTCACTGATTTGTTTAACTTAAATTTTATTATTTTGAACATGTTCCACAAATCAAATCCAAGCTTGGTAGCCAAATTTAAATTGTAACATTTTTTCCCACACCAACTATTTTGGTTATACTGCTGTAGCTCAGATATTTCTGGAACTGCAAGTGGCATATTTTCACATTAAGTATGTTTATGCTACCATGACACAATACTCTGAAATTAAGTAGTGTCATTGCCTTGACTGTCTGCTGGAATTAAGTACTGCCATCTCCTGTACACCAGATGTAATGGTTATATTCCAATGACTTGCTGCTCAGAAATTAGGCAGTGTAATTTCTCCCTTAATTTAATGCTGCTGTGTCCTCCAGGCCCTAGGTAACAATTCAGACACACATATGGAACAGTATCAATTTAAACCCTTGGGATATAGTGCAGCAAGACAGTTTATTTCCAGCCATGTGACTGTTTGATGAAGGCTTCATTACAACATTGATATTTCAGCAACTGTTGCACCAAAATCAGTTACATAAAAAAAATGACATGAAGTCAAATAGAGAAAGTCACAAAATGTGTTACATTCTATGGCATTTTAATCATGTGAGGACCTTAATGTGTACCTATGCCAATTACAGGAGAAGCTGGCCATCACAGTTTGTATCAACAAAATAGATCGACTAATGCTGGAGCTGAAACTGCCACCTCAGGATGCTTACTACAAGCTGCGCCATATTGTGGAAGAAATCAATGGCTTGCTAAGGTATGCAGAGATTTTACACCTATTATTGTAGATGTGTTTGCAGTCCTGTTGTTTAGCATTGGGCATGGACAGACCACACTGAAAACACTTCTTCAGTTGTCAGAATTATTGCATAACCTAGCAACAGACTGTTTACGAAAAATCTGTCTTCGCTGGAACTTGTTTAACAACCCATTTCCTGGCAATGCTTTGACATATCACAGTGGCTACAACAGTGTAGTTGGTAACATGCTTGACGTGTAGAGACATCATACCCACTACAATACAGAGTAACATATGACATGTTAAGGTGTAATACCTGCTTAAGTNTTTGACATATCACAGTGGCTACAACAGTGTAGTTGGTAACATGCTTGACGTGTAGAGACATCATACCCACTACAATACAGAGTAACATATGACATGTTAAGGTGTAATACCTGCTTAAGTGGTTAAGAAAAGGAATGCACTAAAGATAATCATATATGTATATATAGCCATTTGTTGTTTATTAGTCATAACATACTCAAGTTTGAAGAAGGCAATGAGATAATGTGAACAGGCTTTTGCATCTTTATAGGCACTGTTTATTTTAGTAGCACAAAAGATCACTTAATCCTCAGTTCCACTTTCCTCTCTTTCCATATGTGGGTCATCTTTCACAGGAATAGCCATCCTCTTCAAACAAGCTGAAGGCTTCAGCCATCCAATTTTTTATTAGCTGTTTTACTTGTGTTGGCTGCATTTCCACTTTCTTCTGCTCTTTTGTTGCTCCAACTCAGATTTTAACTCATCAGTTCATTACCATTTTGTCCACCATAAATCCCATATGTACTGCTCTGAGATTGAACCACGTTCTCCATGGTGAGAAGTTAGCATCAATCAAATGTGAAGCCCTAGCTAAGGCATGATATAAGAAAATGCTGCCTGTTTGGTCCTGTTGCAGACTTAGAGATTAATGTTGGATAAATTTTGGGGGAATGGAGAATCCAAATTACCCATTGAGAAAATGGCTCCTGTCCCACTATGTTTGTCATATATCCCACACTGACTGCCCTGATAAATTTGTCTTTGTCTTTGCTGTTGTTATATCTGAGCCGCCTTCACATTTAAACACAAATGTGTCAATCAGAACCATTTATAGTCTGACAGATCTGTTTCACTGTACTGTAAGAAGGGTTAATTACAAATGTTTTAGCAAGAATCATATCCAGGAGTGAATAGCCTTTGATGCTGAAGCACCTTTAATTTAAACCCATGCACGCACGCGTGTACACACACACACACACACCCGCGTGCAACAGTATTGTATTAATTTAAAAATCTGGAACCCACCAGTGGGATTAAAACCATCTGGCCAATGATAATAGTGGAATTAAAAAATATTTATTTCACTGTATTTTTCCATTAAATAGGAGAGAATTACAGAAAATATGACACATTACAGAAGACATATTCATGTCTATTTAGTTAAAATTTACCATTCTTCTGTTCAGCTTATACTCTGATGATGAAAATCCGAAGATTGTTTCCCCAATCCTGGGCAATGTGTGCTTTGCAAGCTCGCAGTATGCAGTATGCTTCACCCTCAAGTCCTTTGCCAATATTTATGCCCAGACCTATGATGGAATCAACATCAATGAATTTGCTCGCCGGCTGTGGGGAGATATTTACTTTAACAGCAAAACGTAAGCAATATTATAATTTTTAAGTGTGTATTTAATTACATCATGTCTAAATTTGTCTTCTTATACATTTGAATACACACCCACGCATGCTGGTCCCCATGCATTAATTTTTGTATTATGAAGGATAAATTCTATATGCACATTTTTGGATGCCTCAGCAGCTGATATGTTAATGGGGGAAGCTGGAACATGAAGGCACAGGTTATATTATTAATTACATAAATTTATATTTATTTAATGAAACATTTGTTGTTGAAAATGGGTGTGTAATTTTTCCAGAATTTCTTGCCTTACAGTAGGGATACAAAAATTATGGGAATAAATACAGTATTGTCACATGTAAGATGGAGGAAGTAAAGTAAATAATGTATTACTTTTGTTCCCTAATCTTAACATTAATGTTTTCTAAAATAATTTGTATGAAATGTAATGTGAGATTGTGGGCAAATGGATTTTCTTAAACAAGTAGTAGTTCTAAGTTGTATTTTTGGAGCCCTGCATATTAATGGGTTGATTGCTTGGTGCTTGGCAGAAGTGCATGCAGATAGAAGAGAAAAGTTATTAACCTTCATTTTGATTATACAGGCAGTTCCATCTCCTTAATTTTTCCATATCTCTTTGCTTTGATTGTTTCAGACGCAAATTCACAAAAAAATCACCACATGGTTCTGCTCAGAGAAGTTTTGTAGAGTTCATTCTGGAACCTCTGTACAAAATATTTGCACAGGCCAGTATTCAGTATTTTTCTGTCTCTTATGGTTCCTAAAAACGTTATTCATTGTCAGTTTTTAATATGATGTTTCCATAAAATTATGGTATGATTTTCAGGTTTATATATGTTGTAACAGTTATTATCCGAAACATAAATGGAACACAGAACATGAGAGAAACTGTGAAAGTTTACATGTATTTTTATTGAAGTTCATTTTGAGGCCTGTTTATCAGTCTGTGTACATCACATTGATATTCTAAGCCTTGTCTCACCCAAATGAGAACACTTTTGATATCCTTCAAATGATATGTCATTGATTTCCACATTTGATGCTACTTGCTTTATGTAGTTCTACAGGAAGTCTGTCAGAGTAAGGTCCTGAGATCGATATGGACAAGGGTTACCTTGGGAAATGCTTAACTAGACCTTCATGAGCAACCTCCAGTGCTTCTTCAAGTTGTTCTTTTGTCTTTCATTTCTAGTACATGTGGAGTTCCAACATGAGTAAAGATTGTTTGTGAAAGTAAATGAAAATTTTCCAGGACAATGGACTGGAAGATCAGATTTAAAACTTTGACCCCCTTGATATTTGACCTTACTCTGATACACGTATGTATGGGATTATGCAAGATAAGTGATGCTGAAAGTGATGACAGACTATTTGAGACACAGAATTAAGAGATGCTGTTGAGACTTATCTCCAGATGTTCTCAGTCAGGTATGGCAAGAATTGCAGTGCAGAATGGTGAATGAGGTTCACATCGAACTTCACCAACAGCTCACAGTTTTTCTCTAATTTTGTCTTCCATTAGTGTTCCTTATGTTACTTCACCATTCTTTGTCAGTCTTATAAAATAATGTAATATAGTCACATTATGTGGCCCAGGTGGTTGGAGATGTGGATACAACTCTTCCTGCAGTGCTGGATGAGTTGGGAATCAAATTAACAAAGGAGGAGATGAAAATTAACATCCGTCCCCTCTTAAGGCTCATTTGTAACAAGTTTCTTGGAGACTTCAGTGGTAAGCTATTACTAGAGGTAATGGTGACAGTTCTTTTGCAGAAAGTACAACTCATAAAATGAACAAGTGAAATATAAAAAATATACTCTTGGAAGAGTCCTAACAGATGAAAAATTATCAGCCTCCACTTTTAAGGTTTGTCTTCATCGTTCTTGGAACATATGAAAAGTAGTATGCTACTAAAAACATTTTCTGAAAAGTGTGTATATTTGAGGGACGTGTGTGGGTACATGCATACAGACACTACAGAAAATGGTAACTTCAAGATGTGGGCATTGGGTTTATCCAACATGAGTGCAAAAGATTGGCTGGGGGATACAGCATTATTCATTTGTATTACAGTAAATATTTACCATACTGAAAAGATTGCACACAAGTATAGATTCTTTCTGGGTGAGGATATGAGAATATATGTGATTTGAGCATGGAAGTAAATAAACATCGTGACAAATGAGGCCTTGTTTCTGAAGAAGATTAACGTTTTGTAGGTTTTGTGGACATGTGCGTACAACACATTCCATCTCCTGTTGACAATGCAAGACCCAAGGTGCAGCACATCTATACTGGACCTCTTGACACAGTCTTGGCTGAAGCTATGTGTAACTGTGATCCTGATGTGAGTACTCATATTCTTTCTATGTTGACTGTAAATAAACACAGCGATGAAATCTTATTGAAGGTCACTGAATTTCACACTGTACTAGTTAACACTTCTGTATTGTATTGTAAATAGGACAGGGACAGGTGAGGTACTGTGCCATGCCAGTAAACACTGGCTGTAACATGAAGATGGGATTTAATTTAAAAAATAAGCTGTTTGTTACCAATACCATAAGCTGTCTCTGTTACCAGTTTTATACAAGGCATACCCAGTTTTTCAGAGAAAAAATTTTACTTTTCCTTGATAGATCAAGTAGACAGTCAGTTTTCCATACTGATGTTATATTTTAGCGTCCTGTTGCACTGATTTAAGTCCANCCATACTGGATCATTTTCATAAATCAGTCAGATTTTTTACTATGAAATGTTAAAAAAATTTAAATGCAGTGCATTTTGATACTGTTTGTAATAGACATGACAAGTTTGTTGTGGTGTGTTCTTACAGGGTCATCTAATGGTTTATAGCACTAAAATGTACCCAACAGAAGACTGCACATTCTTTCAAGTTTTGGCACGAGTCATGAGCGGCACCTTGCATGCGGGACAGGAAGTAAAGGTGCTAGGTGAAAACTACACCCTTGCTGATGAAGAGGACTCGAGGATTCTCACTGTGGGCAGGCTGTGGATTTATGAAGCTAGGTATGAACTTTGATTTTATCAGTAAAGATAGGGGATGAAGTGGTGAGGCCAAAACTTCAACCAAAATTTTGCCCATTTGCACATCCCGTCTAGAAGCTATTGTACACAAACCTTCTGCTGCTGTAAAATCCAAATTCACATATTCATGTGTGACAGTAATATGCCCTTCCATGTCATAATATCCCTCCACCCCTGCTGGTAGAACAGTGGAAGGTGGGCAGGTTTGCAAGGAGCTAATTGTTTTATGAGTGTTGTGCATTTATCTTGTGATATTTGTGGTTCAAGGTGAGTAACATATTCCATGATTTAATGTGGACCCCTCTCAACATTTCAAGACTTGCTGTATATGTATGTGAAGATTGCAGTGTTACCGCCAGGCAGGGCAGCCAGCTTGAAGACCAGCAGATACACAGGGTGGTTCAAATATGACCGGGATTGATTTGTGTGTAAAGAAGCCGCACTGCGCAGCAGCTGTGCGAGCTTGAGAGAGTGAAGCCACAACCTCCACCCTCCCTCCTGTTCAGGTTAGAACCTCTTCAGTCCTGTCTGGGAGTTGCTAGAGTGATGAGTGAACAGAAGATACCTCAGAGCTTGGAACAATGCATTGTGATCAAATTCCTCGGAGAAAACGTCCTTTCTGCTGAAATTCACCACAGATTCCAACAACAATATGGGGAAGAGTGTCTCTCGTGGACCCATGTGTTTGAGTGGTGTAAGTGCTTCAAAGAGGGCAGAGAGCACTTTGAGAATGAACCGCATGATTGTCAGCCGCGAACACCTGTCACCAAGCCAAACATTGATTGTGCGGACATGCTTATTCGTGAGAATAGAAGATGAAGATGAGGTTGTGAGGCAGCAGAATATAGTCCCACAAGACCTGGAAGCAAGAATGACTGCTGGTGAGGTGCAGCAGCAATTTAATTGAACCAAACCGAACCATGACAGTGAGGTGAGGAGAGAGTCGCATGACTCCCAAGGTTGTGAAAAAGAAAAATATGGTCATAGATCCCATGGGGCCTGGAACCAGGAATGATTGATGGTGAAGGCCAGCAGCAGTTTACCCAACGTAACCTGACCAGACAGCCATCAAGGATAGGAGTATTAGGGAGAGTCCCTGTTATTGGAGATCATTACCAAGCAGCATGTATGTACTTACAGAACTGTAAGGCTTATTTTGGACCCTATCCATCGTCTGGTATATATAAGAAAAAACTACAACGTTTTGAAGACTGGAACCTGTTGTCAGGTGTTTTTAGGCTGTTCTCTACTGACTGGGGTTTGTCCAGTGATTGAGACTAGCTCTTTTAAATGGGCCCAACTGAGTAGGTCTATTGTGCCCCATCCACCTGAGGACGGCGACAGATCCAGTCTCCGAAACGTTGTGGTTTTTTGTCTTATATATACCAGACGATGGCTAAAGTCCAAAATAAGCCTTACAGTTCTGTACAGCATACACCATCGTCAGAATCCATTCAAGTCTATTAGCAAGTACTTACTCATGGAACTCAGCTCTTCTTGAGGAGCTGCCAAATCTGCAACTACTCAAGAATTTCCCAGCATTTTATGGAACCTGAAGGTTCATTACTATGTTCACAAGAGCCCTCCACTGGTCCCTATCCTGGGCCAGACCAGTCCAATCCATACCATCCCATCCTATCTCTGTAAGATCCATTTTAATATTGTCCACCTACCCATGCCTTGGTCTTCCTAGTGGTCTCGTTCTTTTTGGCTTTCCAACCAGTATTCTATATGCATTCCTCTTCTCCCCATTCGTGCTACATTCCCTGCTCAACCTCCTTGACTTGATCATTCTAATTATATTTGGCGAAGAGTACAAATTATGAAGCTCCTCATTATGCAGTTTTCTCCAACCTCCTGTCACTTCATCTCCCTTTGGTCCAAATATTCTCGTCAACAACTTGTTCTCAGACACCCTCAGTCTATGTTCCTCCCTTAATATCAGGGACCAAGGTTCACACCCATACAGAACCATAGGCAAAATTATAATTTTGTGTATTCTAATTTTTGTTTTTGGACACACATGAAGACAAAAGGTTCTGGACTGAATGATAGCAAGCATTACCCGAGTTCAATCTCCTCTTACAGTCATTCAGGTTAATAATACTTCTTGACATCAGTTGAATATGCATGTGTTTCAGGTACAAGGTGGAGGTGAGCCGTGTGCCAGCTGGGAATTGGGTGCTTATTGAAGGCATTGATCAACCAATTGTGAAGACATCCACTATCACTGACCTTACAATTTCAGATGACTTGTATATATTTCAGCCTCTCAAGTTCAACACACAGTCCGTCATCAAAATTGCAGGTACAGTACAGAATTCATTAATTGATTCATTGTTGTTTCATGTTTAATCCCTTCCATGTGTTGAAAAGCTCTAAATTTTTGCATTAAAATATTGTGACATGCTACCTGAAAGCCTGACTATAAGACGTCAATCACTAGTCAACGGCTAGCAGTTCCTAGGCAGCGAAGCCTAGGAAATCATTGCCTCCGGAAATGAAAGTCTTAACAGTGGGGTTTCCACCGTTACAAACAAATTGTTTGAGGCAGACTGGCAATATGGGATTCACTGCATATGAGCTACAAGCAGAAGACACTTCACCGAGAACAGCAGTGCAAAGAGTGTTGTAACATTGAAGAAGAAACACCCAAAGACGTTATAAGTGGAATAATTGTACTTGTGAATGTAAAGAATGGGTGTCCAATAAATATTTGTTCAAATCCGAAATCCATGTAAATTTTCTTGTTGCGTTTCCTAGGAAACTTGCGACAATATCAAGAGCTGCAGTATAAATTTATTGCCATCAATGCTTATCTGTCAAAGGCATTAAGATTAGAAAATGTCTATGTTACTAAACAAGATAAATTGTTTGAGTTGGGATCAGGTTTGTGTATTTAAGAAACGCTGTACTTACGTTTAAGGATCCAAGGGATCTAGGAGCAAATCTCTAGACTTGTGTACTGGAGGTCATGGATTCAAGGCCAGCCCAAATCTGTTGTTAAAATAGCCTTACATGAACATCAACCATAACAAAAAACAATTAACAACCGCTTCACTCATTTCATGAATAAGCAATAAATTGTCATTTCTACTAAATCATGTGACAGTATTTGGTTTCTATAACGAAAAAGTAATGTGTCCATAACTTTCTCGTTACGTGGTAAGTGTTTGCTGTATGTTCGTGCTTGATGGCCACCTAGTTTCCTTCCTGGCCACCAGTTAATACACAGAGTTGTCACTGAACCATGCCTTGGCACTAAATAATAGAATATATATATATATGTATTTTGTGACGTATTTGTGATGATTTGTAGGTTGTTAAATAAACTAATTAACAATCTGAACGGCATCTTCAGTGGCAAATCACGTTACAATATATTAATATAATTATAATAAGCAGTTTCGAGATTGTTAGTACTTTTTTTTAAGACTTGTGATAGTTCAGTTGGTGTACAGACTGGACAGCCAAGGAATTGGGGTTTCATTCCCAGCAGGGTTGAGAGATGTTTTTCTTAACTGTGTCCAGACTGGCTGTGGGGCTAACCCAGCCTCCTTTCTTCGGGGGGGGGGACTCTTTTCCATGGGTGCAGTGACCAGGGCATGAAGCTGACCATATGATGCACTCATCCAGTGCCAGGAGTAAGAAGGCTTGGATCTGCACCTCCACTCCCCTTATATCTTTGTGGTGTAGGTCTTAATTAAGCTCAAGGAGGACTTTCCTTATTACCTTTACATCTTATATTAAGATAAACACTGGTGAAGCAGGACATTTTTAAAAGCAAAAGAATGGCACCTTCACTAATATCCAATGTAAGTGCTAACATTTTTTTAATAACTGCATTTATGTATAATACATGTACATAATATAATACATGAGTACTAGACAAAAATATAACTTCCACCTACCCTCATCAACTTTATCAGTATATCAAAAAGGAGTGTACTTTACTGGCATAAAAGTGTTCAACAATCTGCCACAAAGTATTAAAAACTTGGGCAATGATACTAAAAAGTTTAAATCAGAGTTAAAGAATTATCTGCATGCTCATTCCTTCTACTCTTTAGATGAATACTTCAATGTAAATAGAGAATGATGTAAAATTAAGTTATATTAATTTTTAAGCTAAAATTTCCTGTACTTATGTATGTAACCTTTTGACATGTTCTGTATCCAAAGGTACTAACCTGCTTAGGATTTATAGAATGTAAATAAATTCAATTAAATTCAATAATAATCAAAGCAGTATTCCAAATTTTCACATTAATGTCCATAATCTGTTGGCCATTTCACCCAGGGTACTTCAACTTGTTTAATCTTATTGGTTATAGTATGACAGATCAGATAATAGAAGTCCTGCTGACAGTCATATTGTGTAGTATCTTTGTCCATTGTCCTAAAAAGGAATACAAAAGTAATGACATTTTTGGATTGTTTTCCCCTTAAAAAAAGGAAGGAGTTTATAAAAAAGAAAATTTTAATGTCTGGCTGTGAACTTATTATTTGTGAATGTACTTATTTCTTTTTGTTCAAAGTTAGTTCTTTACTATCGTTCTAGTGGAGCCAGTAAACCCATCGGAATTGCCAAAGATGTTAGATGGGCTGCGTAAAGTGAACAAGTCATACCCGCTGCTGGCCACTAGGGTTGAAGAATCTGGTGAACACGTTGTTCTAGGGACAGGAGAGCTGTACTTAGACTGTGTGATGCATGACCTGCGAAAGATGTACTCCGAGATTGGTGAGATCCATTCTTGTGACCTCTATGGGTTAGGCTTGGATCAGTTCCACTTCCAAGAGCCACTTCTGAATGATTTCCTTATATCTCAGTTTCACTTTAGTATGTAATCATGTGCAAGTTTGAGGTATTATTGTCCATTCTCTTCAAAGCGGTGTAACCGTTCCACTGCTATGCAACTTTTTTTTATGTAATCAACTTTATAAATTTGAAAGCTTAATTGTTCAAAATGAAATGCAGTGAACAAGGGTAGTGAAACATGGTCAGTTCTTGTATGTAAGAGAAAGCGATTTCTCAAGCTTACAACAAGAGACAGGAAGAAACCCTTCAAAGGTTTATTAGTGGAAAGCTGCGTTAAAGAATAGAGTAAAGAAATCTTTTGTGAATTCAATACTTGGCAGTTTGTACATGCCATAACTTAAAAAAGAGTGAAGTTTTTAGGGCCCAAGCGACGCGTAAGCATTTGTCACTTTCTGACAGAAATACGTTGGAGTCAAAAATCCTTAAACGCTTGTGAGCTTTAAGCGGAGTGGAGGAATATCTAATTAAGATACTCCTATTTTTCAAAATTAGCCAATCACTAAAATTTAAGGGGTGACAGGGCAGTGACGCTGGAGAAAGCAGGAATTGAATGTTTGAGGAAGCGTCATGTTTTAGCATCATTCTGCAAACGGGAGTAGAAGGAATCAGACGTAAAGTCTGCAAACGAGGGTTGTTAGAAACAGACGTACAGTCGGAAAGGGGGACTCGTGAGAAACAGACGTAAATTCGGAAACCGGGAGGTGATAGAAACAGATGTAAATTCGGAAACTGGAGTCGTTAGAATCAACCGCAAAAAGTTATACATCGGGCTCCAAAGCAGTTAGACGTAAAGGTTACTAACATTGAAACTGTATCAAAAGTGATTAAACAAGTGTTCAATATAATTCGTNTTATTCCTTTCTGAGTTGTGGCCCGTTCAAGGCTCTGAGATAAGAGGTACTCCTCTCTACCAAAACAAAAAAAAAAACCCCTCCTTTTAAATTAACCCTGAGATATTTAGCAACAAGAAAGAAGAACCTACTAGAGGCGATCCAGCGTGTGAGTGAGAAAGAAGGAAAAAGCAAGGTAGGGGGTGAGGAGAAAAGGGCGGTAAGAGAGAAGTGGCGCCCAAAGTGTGAGCACGAAGGAGAGGGAAGAAGTTAGCAAAGAGTTAGGAGAGAAGGGCGGTAAGAGCGGTTGACCATTTTATGTTATATTTTTTTTCTGCCCCTTCTCCCCTGCATGTACTGAATAAATATTTCCTTCTCTGTGTGTCATCGTTTTTAATGGACACTTCTTAATTTCCTTTGTAGTGCATGAATCTGGCTTTTGTTTTTGTTCTTCATCTCTCAGGTTTCACTTTCATATAAAAGCATATGTATAGTAGTCATTTTTTTTCCATTAAGTGCATTTTGCTGTTATTTTATGACATTTCATCTTTGTTTCATACCTTCTTTTTTTTTGCATTCTGGCCACACTGTGTGCATGCCATGTATTATAGTGAAACCTGATGTAAGGTTTCTCATGGGGACAATGGATTTGACAACAAAACTTAGGAAAACCTTAGATAGAATATTACTACCAGCTATGTAATTAGGATTTGAGTTCCTGTCAGAAGCAAAGATTTTTCTCTTTACTACAACACCAAGACCAGCACTGGGACCCATCCAGCTTGACCTCCAGTGTATACTGATTGAGGATTAAAGTGTTCATATGTCATAGCAACAGTCTGTTTATCTCCATCTAGTGTCAAGGTGAACAAGTTATGGAGTTTTAACTACTACACCCCTATGTCCTTTCATGGTGTGGTACTTAAAAACATGAAGAATTAATTTACTTTATGGTGAATTGTGTCCATTCTTTTTGAGATGTTGATAATTATTCAGCTGATCAAGACATTCCCTGCCATTGAACTGGTTCCATCACAATATTTATAAAATCCTGCCATGAGACTTCTGAACCAGTTCAACCCACATAATGAAGGTCTAGAATTTGGTCTTCCGATTTATGACACCGTGTAGTGTGGTAGGTGGTTACCAGTGTTTTGGAGGAATCTGCTGCCTCAATCTTCAGATGAAACATTGGTAACCACCTTCCAAACTATACAGTGTCATATCACAGAAGATCACAATAAAGAATGGTTAAATCCAGTTTGATTTTTACAATCTATTTATGCAACGTTGACAACAGTTTCTTCCCCTAGTGTTCTCCAGTCACATTTTTATGTATGTTTTTTGTATCACTTGAGTGTTACATGTCCTGACCATCTCACGCTTCTTTATCTAACCAGTTTAACAATGTCAGCAGTTGATTGGTTATTACATTTTAAGTTTAACACTATATAACATGTATATTTGCGTTTAATTTTTGGAAAGAAGTTGCATTTTTTCTTGAAAGTGGAAGCAAGTGCGCACAAATTTTTGTGTTTTATTGTATTGAGATAAAAGGTAGTGTACTTATGTGACTAAATGTCACACTCTAAAGGCAAAGAAGGGCATGGAAGAAATGCTGTCAGTTCTAGACCTTGACATTTTGTGCGTAAATGTTCGGTTCAATACTTTTGCTGAACCCTTGTACCCAATAAATAGGAAATTTACATGATGGCTTCTCTGGACATAGTGGTGAAGATAAAAGTTGCTGCCCCTACCAGTAACTTTAATGACAGCTGTCCTAGTCCTGTCTAGTGTAGGAATAACATGTGTTTTGATGTTCAGATATCAAGGTTGCAGACCCAGTGGTAGCATTCTGTGAGACTGTGGTAGAAACATCATCACTCAAGTGTTTTGCTGAGACACCCAACAAGAAAAACAAGATCACAATGATTGCTGAACCACTTGAGAAAGGACTTGCTGAAGATATAGAAAATGAAGTTGTTCAGATATCATGGAACAAGTGAGTCTTATGTGTTTATTTTTTGACCATCAACACAACAGTTGTTTTTCATACAAAACCAGTCCAATATCACTGTACTAACGTTGGTTTTATTTTAATGTCTGCTACATGTTTCAGTTCATGTTTGGATTATCATCTTGCAGTTTCTTAAATATGTCACATGTTATTGATTTGTCCTAATATTGATCCATATTAGTTCTGTTTTTAGAATGCATTGATTTCTATATCTCATCATAATGCGTGTTGGTATTTTGATATCATAGTTAACCTCAGGGCTAAAATTATTTAAATTAGTGTTTGTGTTGCGTCAGTACGATGTGGGTTTCTGTGATACTTGCCATATATTAGAGGGTGATAATGTCCTATGGGATTCATTGTCAAGGTTTGTTTTAACTGAAAATAAATTATTGTGTACTGTTATAATCTGAGCCTACTTTGAAGGGGATTAGGTATTGTAACCACTCAGAAACAGAACTTTGTTTTCCCAGCCCAAGGTCAGATACTTTTTAGACAGAGTAGTATATGTAAGTTAGGGATGATTGTAAGAATTTTTCATTGAAGAATCCCTATTAAATCCAGTAAAACACTCTACAGCCGAAAGATGCCCATCCATTTTTCATATATCATTCTTTTGTATGAAGGTACTAAGTGTGTTTGTCTAGTGGTAACACACTAACCTTGTTCTCAGGAGTACCTGGTTTATATCTAATCTGTGTTGCCAGCTACCCTTAGGGGTATTTCATGAGTTCCCCCAGTCTCTCCATGTGAATACTGGGGTAGTTCCTTCAATAATTGTTGCAGTTAAACATAAGTTGATAACAAAGGACTTGATCAGTGAAGCAGTCTGGCAAGACTGGTACATAGTTATATATTAGTTCATGAAATACATTGTACCTATATGCCTGTGGATACTTTGTTTAAGGAACTAACCTTGTTCCAGGAAACGTTTAGGGGAGTTCTTCCAAACAAAATATGATTGGGATTTGCTTGCCGCTCGTTCAATTTGGGCTTTTGGCCCTGATTCAACAGGCCCAAACATCTTGGTAGATGACACATTACCTTCAGAGGTAGACAAAGGATTACTGAGTTCTGTCAAAGACTCAATTGTCCAGGGTTTCCAGTGGGGCACTCGGGAAGGACCGTTGTGTGAAGAACCAATCAGAAATGTCAAGTTCAAGATTCTTGATGCTGTAATAGCACTGGAGCCTTTGCATCGTGGTGGAGGTATGGATTGCATGGTAGTTATATCAGCAGTGTGTTCATTATCCATCATCATGTATATATTAAATATTCTTCAGAGAGCTAGCAGTGTTAAATATGATTATACATAGTATAATGATGTAACCATTGTCTCAAGTCTTCTCACTACCAGTCATAATGCTGCATGCTGTGCAAGAACTGAACAGTGTGAGACTACATTAATTTCACATGTGAGATGCATGCCATCTACTTTATGGTTTCACAATGGAGCAAAGCTCATTGTGAAGTCTGTGCACTGTCACTGATAATCATTTCCTCACTTTCCTTGTAACCATTTTGAGACCAACTGGATCAAGCCAGCAGCACTCTTACCCTTCCTCAGAGATTCTAGTGTTATTTTCTGCATTGATTAATCCAAGTTCCAGATGCATGTCTTCCATCCTTTTTTCATACTCTACATCAAGATAGTGTAACATGCTTATGTCTAAAAATCATTGCTTTGGAAGATGCTGTATTGATTTCTTCAATCCACATCAGAGATATGAAATATTCCTGTATTGTAAGACGAGTGTGTACAGCATGATGGAGACAATCCTGCAAGTATATATATATACAGAATTATGTAGCAAGCATGACAATTCAGTAAGTTTTAAGCCTTTTGGCTGCAGAGCCCAATTGACTGTGAAGTCTCAAGTAGTTGCAGGCTTAGTGCAATAGTGCAGGGACAAGGGAGGGCCTACATATTTTAGTGGCCATAGCTTAAGACTACCCCAGAAATGGCCGTTGAATCAGAGTTGAGTGGTAGCTGCTTTGTCATTCACAAATCAGCTCACTATTGCAACACAGTGGCCAAAATAGATGCATGCAGTATTTAATTAAATTTTCTTTAGGTCAGATCATCCCCACTGCACGGCGTGTTGCCTACTCTGCATTCCTTATGGCCACACCGCGTCTGATGGAACCATATCTATTTGTGGAAGTGCAAGCACCAGCTGATTGTGTGTCAGCTGTTTATACTGTGCTTGCCAAACGAAGGTAACTACTGGTTTTTTAAATGACTGCAAAATAAGTATTTTTTCTGAGTTCACAGGTTTGTGAGATATGAACTAAAACCAGTTTTGGTATATTGTCATTTTTGTTATGATACTTACGCTTGTCTCACCTGGGAATTAGTGGCAGACACCTACCTCTTAAAATTGCAGTGCATGCAAAACAAGGTTTTGCATGCCATTGGAAATTTTACAAGGTGCACACCAGTCCACGACTTGCACACAGCTTTCGACTTTCTGTATGTATACGATTATATAACAAAATTGTGCAGACAACAAGCAGAAGTCATACAAAATCATGAGAATGAACATGTTTATGGTATAGGACAAGGTGAAGCCAGACACAGAAAATATAAGAGGCTTAAACTCGGCGGTGGTGAAGCTTACGACTCTTCAAATAACTAAGTTTTTGTTGTAGCATAAGATATGTAAGTTAGGCATCATCTGCTCTGTAAAGCCTCTACTGACAGAGTACTTATGTGTAGTGCAAAAGGAAGAACTTTTGATAACATGTTATCATCATCATCAGTAATCTGTCAAGACGACAGGTCCACAGTCTCTTTCAAAACAATTCCTCCACTTAATGCGATCTAGAGCTTTCTCCTTCAAATGACAGTATCCTCTTCTGTCCCCAAGGTCATCCAGCATCTTCTTACGTCTTCTTCCTCGTCTTCTTGTCACTTCTATCCGCCCATCTATCTTTCCTTCGATAGCTTCTTTTAGAAGGCAGTTTCTGCGTAAAACATGACCAATCCAATTAGCCTTCCGTTTTCTTATTTCGTGTAGGATATTCCTCTGCTCACTGACTCTAATTAACACTTCTTCATTTCTCACATAATCGGTCCAACTGATCTTCTCCATTCTTCTCCAACACCACATTTCGAAACTTTCCAGATGTTTCTGATCTACTGCCCTAAGTGTCCATGTTTCAGCCCCATACAGAGCTATGCTCCAAATGTAGCATTTCACTAGTTTCTTCCTCAAATAACATGTTTTATGTGTGAAATATACACTTGACGAAAGGTCACATGTATCATAAGAGACAAACCCATCCTCTCGTCAGAGAGGATGTTACATAAGGAATATTTCCGTAAAAAGTTCAGTTGGAAAAAAAAAGAATCTCTGGTCATGGGCTTCAAGGGGTCTGATGCCAAGACGAACTGATTGGCGGTAAACCGCCAGTCGTAAAGTAACTCTGACTCTCTTGCTAGGATCAGAATTGAGGGAGTCTCTTAAGATGGCAGTCAAAGGTGATGCGGAAGAGGAGACATAGTGTTTTGTGAAGTGTAGTAACATGTTTTAAAAAAGTGCAGTAAATCCGCTCATTAATCCAGATTCCGTCTACAAGTCACACACACCCCCAAATACATGACAATATTTTACAGTTATATTGCCTTATGTTAGTGACTAAACATGGGGTTCTGAGTGATAATTGGATTTATTAAATGTTTATGAGTTGTAAGTACAAATAATTATAGCACTGTCTCTATAAATCACTATATCACACACCCAAGCCTTCTCACTCTTGTTATGCCTTCCATAACTGTTACTTGGTAGTGGCTTCTAACAATGGAGTTTCCTCTGCTAATGGGTAACCACAAACAAGTTCCACTCCTGTCTCATGACTCACAACTGACTTGACTTTCAGTTCAGTCTAGTGAACTGCTGCTGGCCCTTGCCAGCATAGTCGTTACTGATTTCAAGCCCTTTTGGGGCCCATGACCAAATTTTTGTTCATTTATGTGTTTGGCCTGACTGACTTCAGTCACAGTCAGGGTCAGTGTTACGACTGGCTGTTTACCTCCAATCAGTTTGACTTGGTGACAAGCCCCTTGAGACTCACAACCAGTAATTTTTTCTTCAAAATGAACACCTGTGGTCATAGTCCTTATGTAACATATGGGTATGTTATTTACAATTGCTGCTGGCCCTCGGCAGCACAGTCATTCTCATGTCTGAGTCCTGTGGTACTCATGACCACATTTTGATGCCTCAGAGGTAGGACTCCCACAACTTGGAGGGCCATGTCTCTGTATTTATATCCCCCAGGAGCAGGGTGACCCAGTTATACTCCTAGGCACTGGGTTCTATCTGACTTGTCACATTGGTCTTTGTTGTATAGCCTTGGCATGGACCGCATAGATGACACTGCCTCCAACATTTCTTTATTGTTGCATGTGTATTCGTTACCATGGGAGTATGTTTACTGAGCCATTGCCTAGTGACAGCCGTCTCTTCTCGCTCCACTGTTCTGGCAGTCATCTGTCATGTCACAGTATTAGTAAGATCATTATGAAAGCCATTGTAGGTTTTATAACCCAGATAATTATAATGAAGTATTTATTCTAATACCTGGAAAGCAGTTTTTGGTGTAATTGGGCAAGTATTATTTTTTTCAGAGGGCATGTGACACAAGATGCACCAGTTCCTGGATCACCCCTCTACACCATCAAAGCCTTCATCCCAGCAATTGATTCGTTTGGCTTCGAGACAGACCTGAGAACCCATACACAGGGACAGGCATTCTGTTTATCTGTGTTTCATCACTGGCAGGTGAGAAAGTGGACGGAACAAAGGACATCTGTGTATTGTATGAACCATTTCAGTACCTTACACATATGAGTTTACTCATCTTTGTTTTGTGTTTTTATAGTTCCAAACCATATACTGTTTCACATATGTGCAATGTACACCATGTGGTCCCCCTTTCTTCCATACTATTCTGAACACATGATAGGGAAGAGACAATATGCAGTTATTTTTCTAACAGGTTCCTGGTACTATACAACAAATACTACACTTGTGGAAATGAGAATGGGTCTAAAAGCAAGTCAGGTGTTTGGTCATTTGCATCCACTATAATACTAATGAAACATTTTATTTCCAATTATACACACACATTTCTCTGTAGTTTTTCTGCTGTTTTTGTTCATATTGGTTATTCAGTTTGAAATCCCCTCTGTAAGGTTGTTGTTCATCATTTCCCAATTCAAATCAGAAGCACAAATAATATATCAGTTCAGAAAATCACACTCAGCAGATCTTAAAGTGACTGCCCCTTTCACTTCCTGGACAGAAGGCAATGAGTCAGACTAATCTGGCTAAAAATAGCTTTTAACTGCTTCTGGAAGGCTAGTGGTATGAGTAGACTTGGTAGGTGATGCAGTCAGAGAGGCAGATATGAAACAAGTTAATCCGTGACAAAACTGAACAGCACAGGACATATTGTAAAAGAACAAGTAAGAAGTAAATACTGTATTATAGTCTTGATTTTGGTATTACGTAGGTAAGTCAGTAAGCATGTATGTAACGGGTGGACCATAAAAACCAGCCCCCACACAGCGACTTTCAAAGATCTATTGTGCTAAGTCAATAAGTAAGTTACAAATGGGTATAGAACTCAAACAAATAGAGTACTAATTTCAAAATGATTTTATTTCTCAACATAATCCCCCTGTACATTGAGGTACTTGTCCCATCATTTCACAGGCCCCTGAAAACCAGCAGCATAAAATTCTTTGAGCTGCTGTCAGAACCAGGTGTGTTCACACGGTATGGCCTGCCTCATAATGCATGACAGGTTGCATACTTTTGTTGAATGGCCTTACAAAGTTTCCTGAGGATGTTACAGTAGGAGTCAGCATTTAGGGTTTGTGCTTGAAGCTGGAATGCAGTGAGCAGTATGCCTTCGTGATCCCAGAAGACTGTGAGCATCACTTTCCTGGAGGATGGTGTCACCTTAAACTTTTTTCTTGGTAGGCGACATGGGATGTTTCCACTGCATTGACGCATGCTTTGTCTTGTGCTGGTAATGGTGAACCCAAGACTCATCACCTGTGACAATTTGAACTAGTATATCGTAAGAAAGCAGTCTTCTGGGATTTGGCACTGTGTATATGTGGTGTTAACCGACGTTTCAGAGGAACGTATCGCCTCCATCTTCAGGGTAGAAGAAAAAATATATAAGAAATCTNATTGAGATGCTGTAATGCCAGACAAATTTTTTGCATTTTGTGTTGTGGAGTCAGCATGCACGGCACCCATCATGCACAGACTTTGTGAAAACCTAACCTGTCATGCATTATGAGGTAGGGCATGCCGTGTAAACACCCTTGGTTCTGACAGCAGCCCAAAGAATTTTATGCTGCTGGTTTTCAGGGGCCTGTGAAACGATGGGACAAGTGCCTCAATGTACAGGGAGATTATGTTGAGAAATGAAAGCATTTTTCAAATCAGTACTCTTATTTGTTTAAGTTCTATATCCATTTGTAACCTACTTATTGACTTACCCTCGTAGTTTTCACTACAGGCAGTTACTGTGTTTCACAGATTGTTCCTGGTGATCCTCTGGATAAAAGCATTGTTATACGTCCCCTTGAACCACAGCCTGCAACTCATCTTGCTCGTGAGTTCATGATCAAGACTCGTCGCCGCAAAGGTCTGAGTGAAGATGTGTCTATCAACAAGTTCTTCGATGATCCTATGTTGCTGGAACTTGCCAGACAAGATGTGATGCTAAATTATCCTCTGTAATCATCATCATCATTGCTTTTAAATGGTGTTTATCCATCCCAGTATTTGTAAAACTGAAATCTTTTGTATGTCATATTGAAACAGTCTTCTCCATTATAACAAGTGGGCATTTGTCCATTTCTTTATTATATTCATCATTGTCATTATGCATTGTTATTTCAACTAGTGAAGATCATCTTATGACGAATATCTCTTCATTCCTCTCTGTCTCCCTATACATGCTCCCTGTGTTTGTGTCCATGCTTTTGCTACTCATTTTTGTATAACTTTTCTCGGTTGTATGTTCATCTAAAATGTGAAACAAAAACGTAATTTTACTTGTACAATTGAAACATTTGTAAGTAAATTATTGTAGGAACTTACTAACAAAGTTTAGAATTACATGAGGAAATAAACTCGAATTTTAGCTGGTCTGTTTGGAACAGCATGAGGAAAAAATGATATTTACGTTATTCATAGCTGGGGGAAAAAAATTTAATAACTTTTAATTATTATTATTTCAGACATATTACCGGTGAATGTTCATCTTTAAAATGTGCATCATGTCATATTTTTTTGTCATCCTTACAAAGGTAAAATTTCTGCCTAAGAACAATGCTATGAAGGAGGAAGAGATGGGGTTTTATGGGGCTGAGCAGTCAGCTTCATGCTCCAATTGCTAAACGCATTTGGAAAAAGTCTTGTACCCACTGTCTAGGGAACTAGTTGACCCTAGAACCAGCCTGCATGCAGTAAAGAGACAAATCCATTACACTGCAAGGAATTGAACTCCTGCTGTCCGGACTGTACCAGTGACTTGCTGACAAGCTCTCTTGGCTTTTGAGACTAGTCATCACATACCTTTCTATTTACAGAGCAAAATGTAAAGAAATCTTGTTTAAAATGTATGTCCCCCCCCCAAGAAAAAAATTAGGCTAGTGGCATACACACTAGTGTTGTAAATGAAATGGTCAGAGGTTAAGGAAGTGTTGCTAATACAGTGTGTCAAGAGTAGCTTACTTTAATATGTTCACAGGGCAGATTGACTGTCATTTATATGCTCCCATCTTAATCCATGTAACACTGACACATTCAACACAACATGCAAGATCATGTATCATATTTTATTGTCCCATGTACTCTGTATGTTTGTAACACCACTATCTTTGGGTGGCCTTTGCATTATTAAGTTTTAAGATATACAACAAGTGTTTGATATGTATTAAACGACAAAAGTTTGAACCTTTATACCGCTTTTCCTCCATACTGCTAATCATAGGATGGCAAGTTATAATCTTGCTGTTCTTTCATTGACAGAAGTTTTAGGTGCATTGACAGCCCTGCAGAGCACATGTTCACTCTGTCATGAAACTCGAGAACAGATTTTCATTAAATTTTAAATAGAGTTTAATAAAATTTGTTGACTCATTCCAGTCATGGTTAAAATCAGAAAAAAATATTGGAAATTTTACATGAGACTTACATGAGTTTCTGCTCATATCTCGATCAACTAACCTCATAGAACTGATTATTTCTTGAGAAGCCCTCAGTTGCTCAGTTAAGAATTTCCCAACATTTTAAGGAACCCAGAAGTTTATTAATGTGTTCACAGGAGCCCTCCACTTTTCCTTGTCCTTAGCCAGATTAATCTAGTCCATACCATCCAATTCTATTTCTCCAAGATCAATTTCAATATTATCCTTCCACCTCTGTGTAGGTGCCCCTAGTGGTCTTTCCTTTTGGCTTTCCCACCAGCATCTTACATACATTCCGCTTTTCCCACATGCATGCTACATGCCCTTCCCATCCCATCCATGACGTGCATTATAATTATATTTTTCAAAGAGTACAAGCTATGAAGTTTCTCATTATGCAGTTTTCTCCAGCCTTGTATCAATTCGTAGCTCTTTGGTCCAAATGCTCTCCTCAGAACCACCCATCACAACAGAAAATGTGTCAAACAAAACTTGAAGAGAAAAATGAAACAAACATTCTAAGTTAAGTGCACTTCTTCCATGTGTCCTGAAGTTTTGAGATAGTTAAAAGGTGTACATACATTTACAAACATATATTCAAAACTCAACTTGAGACACGGGCGAAGATAATCGAAGTCTCTTATTCTTGATAATAAGTGAATGGAAGTGCCACCAGAATCTAGCAAAAGATCACAATTAAGAAAAGAATAGAATACAGTCTTGCTTCAGTTTGGACTGTATTGAAATCAGATAACATTTTACTACAATATGGTTTTGAAGCATAGACCATATATTAAACAACTTATACAAGTAAGTAATTTGCTTTAATGTGTGTAGTAACTGCAAACGAAGCCTTCACATCGATTGAGTGTTCATTCAATATAGGCTGTAGTTTTAACTTCTTACCAATTGGAATAAGCATGAACTAAAGGGACAAGGGAAGAGTTCATCATAGTCCTAATCCTCCAGTTGGTATAAACTAAAGAACGTTGAGGATTACAAAATTTGACTTCTTGTTCTCACATTTACTACATGTTATTTACTGATAAGTAATTTTAAAAGCATGGATGTTCATGTCCTTTACAATTCTGCAAAATGTTTATGTTGTCTTGTACTTTGCACAGGGTGCATTTTTTTATCATTTGACATTTTAATTTCGATAACAAATTTATTATTGAATGCATTTGCATGAAACTTAGGTCATTCGACACACTTGGGAAGTTTGATGCTGATATCAATATATATCAATGTTGAACTGAGTAACATGACCGTATCGCTTCCATCTTCTGGGTAGAAAAATCCGTGAGAGAGAAACCAGCTTGAGCAGGTGGTTCATACTACAGTATCATTGCAATATTCAAAGTTAAAATCATCTTTTGCAATGGAAAGTTTCTGTTCAAGCCCAGCCTACATTTTACGACCATCACATACAAAAGCAGTGAACAGGGGTACCAAAATGGCATATAATTATTGCAGTTTCAAGGGAAATTCAGTGAGGCATGTGATGTTGGTAATAACAACAAAATAATTCGGTTGCAGACAACAGAACCGTTACGTTGTGATCAGTAATTTGTCATATAAAAGAAAAGACGAATCTGGGATAAGGAAATGGGAAAAATATAGTGAATCGACATCAAAACGCAGGAGAACGTGAACCAAGTATACGCAAATCGATCCAATTATTCATGAAATACGTCGCATAGTCGCTTACCTGAACATCACAGAGATCCACGGAGACGAACAACAGGAATGGCAAAACAGGTTCCTAAACGTTTCAAATTAGGTTGCAGTGTGAACCACTAGAAGCATGAATGCTATTATTAAGAATATTAGATTCACTGAAGGTTTGAAAAATAACAATAATAGTTGTGATGTAAGTTAGTCCTTTATTTATTTCCACAGCTTCGTAGTACGTTGTTTCTTTGCCAGTTTTCCCGCCGAACCATACTGGCCTTTCATTGGTTCCAGCGACGTGGCAGGCAACTTTGAAAATATGTCGTCGTGTTGTAGTTAGTGTTATGGAATTGAATTAATAAGTACTGGCAGTTCTAAATTATACTATGGATCCAGCGGAAGTAGAATTCCTCGCCGAGAATCAGATGGTTAGCATCGTTCCAAACTTCAATTTTGAAAGAATATATCTTATTTCTGGTGATGTTGGTCCGTTCCGAGCGGGCCTTCCAGTTCAAGTTCCTATTTGGATGGCAACGAATCTTCGACAGCGTCAGAAATGTCGAATAATAGCACCCGATTGGATGAACACTGAAAAGCTAGAACAAGTGAAAGAAGAAGAATCTCAGTCCAGGTAATCAGAACTTGGCCGTAATTTCTTCTCTTAGGACTAAGACATGGGTGAGGGGTCATTTTCACTGGTGGTACAAACGGCGGAGCCATGTATTGTAAGATTTTACTGACAAACAAATGTAGATGGAAGCATGATTCTGGAAGTTGCATTTAATTTGACAGGTTAAGTGACTGTCAAAGAACATGCTGAGGATTCCTCATCCACAATTCTTCCTGTACAGCATAATTTTCTATGCCTGCAAATATAAGTCGGAGCAGTGGTTAATGGACTGCTGATAGATATAACCCTTTCTTAATTACACTGTGGATATACAGTTCTCAGATTTAAGCCTGATCATTCAAGGATTTTATTATTATATGAATAATATAAATAAGGTCAGAAATATAGTATTGGATTTGCAACAATATGACATACTTTGTGTGGTTTTCTTGGTTCCTTGAGTCAAGACTGATTACAGTAAAATATTACATACCTATTCAAGTTCATGACAAAATAGATAAAGCTTTCCCTGTAACAGGCTGCAAAGGCCAATAGGGGTGTGAGAGGTTGAGGCTCTCACATCTTCTGAGAAAGTAGGCTCATAGATGCTGGTAAGGTTGTCAGCATTACGTGCTGGCTGCCCTTTACTCCCCAAGAATATTCCTGGTTCTCATTTCTGTTAGAGGCTGAGTCGACCCCAGGGCTGTAATGCAGCTAGAAGGGTTAGGTAAATTGAAAAATCCATTGACCTCATTGGGATTTAATCCCATGACCTTGCTTGTAGCATAGTGCATCAACCAACTGCACTACCATGTGCCCCATTCAAGTTCGTGACTCTCAATTACTCTTTCATTTTACCTATGCAATCAGCAGTGTAATTTATCAAACCAACAAAGAGAACTGCATATGAGTGGTCCTTTTAGTGAACTTGTTGCTCTACAAAGATGCACTCTCCTTTCCACAGGTTCTTCACCAAAATGCCAAGTGAACATTACATGGTGGAAGGCCATTTGTTGCTTGGAGCTGCCTCAGAAGATATTCCACATGCAGATGAAATTCGCACAATTCTTAAGGTTTGACATAGATATTACATATATTTTGGCATAACTTCACATATTTTTATGTGTTCACTACATGACATGAATGTACAAGGATCACCTAGAGAGTGCTTTTGTGATAACTAATGTGTTATGGGTCAGCCTGACTTGATGGGAAAAGTGTCTGTCTCTTTCCTCTATGTGCATTTACACTGTATAACAGATGAGGCTATATTTCTGAGTGTTTAATCTCCTAAATTAGTCATTTTGTTTTAATTAAATTTTTTGTTTGGAAGTAATGCCAAAAGTGGTAAAGCAAATTTCATTTTGGTCCATGTTGATCATATACGAAGGGCGTTCCATATATAATGCCTCCTATTTTTTGTGTTAATCTGTAATGTCTGAGCTGGATGTTGGTGGTGTTGTAGTAAAGGTTGAACCTTCCCACCAATGTACTGTTAGTTTGGTTGTTGTGCGACATATAGCAACAGAAGAGCAGTCTACCAAAATGGTGTCTGACATAGAAGTGTGTACGAAACAGAGTTGCGTAATTGAATTTCGCACTGCCGAACAGATTGCACCCATTGACATTCATCAACGCTTGCTAAAGGTGTACGGAGATGATACAGTGGATGTCAGCACGGTGAGGCGGTGGGTAGTGCGTTTCAACAGTGGCGAAAGTGAAGTGCACGACAAGCCACGCCCTGGGTGTTCCTGCTCAGCTGCCACTCCTCACAATGAACAGCGGCTCATCCGTACAGATCGGCAGATAACGACCAGGGAACTGTGTGCACGGCTTAATATTGGCTGTAATGCATTGGAAATGATGTTGGATAAGCTGGATTATCTCAAAGTTTGTTCCAGGTGGGTCCCGAAGATGCTTACACAGGACCACAAAACTCATCGAATGGAAGTCTGTCAGGACCTGTTGCACCAGTTTGAGGCTGAAGGTGACAAGTTTCTGGACAGCATCATCACCAGAGATGAGACGTGGTGACACCACTACAAGCTGGAATCCAAAAGACAATCCATGGAGTGGCGAGATCCGGATTCCCCAAGAAAAAAGAAGTTCAAGACACAGCCATCGGCAGGGAAAGTGATGTGCATGGTCTTTTGGGATAGGCGGGGTGTGATTTTGTTGGATTTCCTGGAGCCTGGTGAGACTGTCAATTCTGAACGCTACAGGACAACACTGACTAAGCTGATAGCCCACATTTCCTGAATCAGTCCAGAGAAGCAGACAACCTTTTGCTTGCAACACGATAACACTAGACCCCATACCAGTTTGGCGAACATCACGCACATTGCAAAGTTTGGCTGGACTGTCCTACCACATCCACCATATAGCCCAAATTTTGCACCTTCAGACTTCTATCTCTTTGGGCCTATGAAAGATGGATTACATGGGTAACATTTTCCAGACAACAGTGCTGTCATTGCAGCTGTAAGAAAGTGGCTAGCCTCTGCTGGTGTAGACTTTTACAAGCACGGTATACAGGCTCTTGTTCATCGCTGGTAAAAGTGCATAACGAATGGTGGTGATTATGTGGAAAAATAACTGGAAGTAGCTGAAATCTTGCTCTATTTAACTGTGTTATTATGTTTTCTGTATCTGTTGTAGTTTTCATTAAAAAAAATAGTTGGCATTATATACGGAACTCTCCTTGTATAGTCATAACTTTACATGAAATTAAAATCACACTTTATTAGATTAGTTCTTTTCAGAAAATATTGTTACGTTTATGAGTGACTATAGATGGAGTTTGGATTGCAGATTGGATTTATTGTCCACTTACAGATTGTAACTACATGTAACTAGTACTATCTCCACACTTTACAAATCACTACAGCACAAGATAAGCCTTTGCAGTCTGCTGTCACTTGTCATTTCCCTGTAACAGACCTTAACGATGAAGATTCTTCAGCTTCTGTGCTCACAACATTACTAACAAATGAATATCCCACAACTGAACTAAACTTTAAACTTGTCCCATTGGTGACACCTTGGCATGGACTGCGTAGAAAACAGTCTCAAACAGTTCCTCTATTGCATGTGGACTGTTGGGGTTCCCATGTGATTGCTACCCACCCAGTCCATTGGCACACTGGCTACTCCTAGCAACAGCTGTTGTCTTGTCGTTTGTTTTGTGGTCTTTGCCTAGCAACAGGTATTGTATTGTAAAATACATCATCGTATGAAAACATGTCATGAAACAATTGACACCAGATTTGTGTACACTTTGACTGCATTGATTGCAGGACATCTGGGACATGCGTATGTCAAAACTGCGGTCATCAGTGGATGCATTTATCAAGATTGGTGGCACTCATGCAAAGCTGGACCACCTGACAGCAATGGAGATAAATAGCATACGACCTCTGCTTCCACATGCACTCGATGAATTGTACAAGTTACAGAAAATTGTAAGAATTATCAGCATTTAACATTATAGAGCATGTCTAATGGTTTCATGTGGAAAGATGTTTTGGGACAATTTTTTCCACCAGTTTTGGACCCTTGATGATATCTGGATTACTTTTTTTGTACTGTGTATGTAAAGAGAAATTTGCTCTTTTCCCAAACATCATATCATGGAAGTGTATATGACCAAGCGAGTTGGTCACACTTCTTACTTGTGTTAAGGAGATAATGTGGTTTGTATCTGGCCAGGGTACTGACTATCCTGGCAGGTTCTCATGGTTTTCAGTCCCTCCAGTAAAATGCAGGGATCTATCTGTGGCTCTACAGCCCTTGTGGACCTAGGGCGCTTTTTCAGTTTCTTAATCTATGCACAGTCAGTAGGATTCCTTGAATGAGGGATCAGCCTCTCATAAGGCTGCTACCCACACACAGAACAACAGAATAAACGCACACAAACATCCATGCCTGGAGTGGGATTTGAACTCATGATCCCAGTGTTCGAGCAGGCAAAGATGGGTCATGCCTTAGACTTCATGGCTACTGTAATCAGCCAAAATACAGGGATATTACCTCAAATTAAACCATGACCATTTCCTTCCTGGTTAGTTTTAATTCAGCGTTATCCTATACTTTGATTCTGTATTGGGTGAGATACTGACACTATTGTTAAATCATAATTAAAAAGTAAAGCTATCCCTGTAACAGGCCATGAAGGCCCATAGGGTTGTGAGATGTTGAGGGTCCCACATTATCTAGACAGTTGGCTCAAAGATGGCAGTAAGGTTGTCAGCCTTACGTGCTGGTCGCGCTTTAGTCCCCAAGAAAATTATTTAAATAATTCCTGGTACTCATTTCTGTTAGAGACTGNTAAGAGTACTGATTTGAAAAAAATGCTTTTATTTCTCAACCTAATCTCCCTGTAGATTGAGGCACTTGTCCC